CCAAACTCAGATTCCATTATAATTTGTTAACACCCCTTTCAATTCCGTTCAATTAATGTAGTACGGTACCTACTCTTCCACACTGTGTGAAACTTGTCGTTCTTATTCCTCACTTTCCCTCAACTCTTTGGTCGATTCCCCTCTCTCTCTCTAACATTGCTGAGGAAATTGAAGTTTTGAGGTCAGCATTTATGTATTCTTATGTTTCTCATGTTATCATCTATTTCTGGACATTACATTTATTTTTTGCTTGTAATGTCGCTAGATGAGTTATTTTTATGGTTAATTGTTTATCGCTTGTTTATTGTCCTTTTCTGTTTTCATTTTGGGACTTGGGTAGTTTAAGAATGGTAAGCTATTTGATGTCATGTTTCTACGTTAATCGGGTTTTTGAGATAATCAATGTGAGATCAGAGACCTTTACAAATTACGCATTGACTGGGGATTATTATTTTAGAAAAGAGATAATGGAATATAATGACTGAGTTTAAATATATTTTAGAAAACTGAAACTTGAGAGAAAAATGTGTGAAGAATGCATGATATCTGGATTGAATAGTTTAAATATTTATGAATTATTGAATCAATGGTTCAGTTTAAAAATGCACTTAGGAGGAATTAATACTTGAAGTACCACTAATTTAGTTGCAAATTGGTGCTGCTAAATGTTACCGAAAATTAATAACACATTTCCATACTTGAGGGTTCTACTAAGGGAGAATCTGATACTTGATGGTTAATATGCAAACAGGTTTATATGAGTAAAGGATCCTGTTTAAGTGTCACATCTTGTTATGTATTATTATGGGTTTAAAATAACACTTTGTCAGTTCTTCTCATTGGGCGACATTGAAAATAAGTTCACTCATAAAATTCTCCTTGCAAAAAAATAAAAAAATATTGTGACTTGTAGATACTACCTTTTATGTTTGGTAGGCAAGTTCGATCAATAATTGTACACAATGGACTCCAAATTTGGAGATATTAACGTGGCCTTTTAAAAGAATGTTTCTTTGAAAATATATAATCGTCATTTCTGGAGCACAAAAATTACATAAATCTTCTATGGCCTGTGTCAATTTGTTAATCAGCTGAGTCTATTAATGCATTAATTCGAAAACATAATTGTACTCTCATAGAAACTCAATGATGTTGTGACATGCAGAGGATAGACACGGGAATATTCTAAAAAATCTTCAATTTTCTTTTCTTTTAATCTAAAGTTACAAATGTCTGAAAATTACTTAAGACCCCAAGTATTGAAGTTTGCACTAGTAGAGTTAACTTAAGTATTAGTCACGGTGACACTAATACCACTATTTGAATTTAACGGTCATTCATTAGAGAAACCCTTAAATGAGTTTGGCTATTCGCGCACTTTTGATTGAGAAAGCTGATCGCTTTAGGAACCTATTACCCTTCTTAAATACTGTTTCTAAAACTAGAAAATATAAAAAACTTTCTTGCTAGTAATGCAAGAAATCAACTCTGTGTATGGACGTTCTCCTTGCCATAAAAGCCCATTGTGGAAATGCGAATACAATTTTAAATCTAGAATAGATTCTCCTGTAAATAAACATTGGAAGTTTATCATTAATATCATGATTCTGCAACTAACAATTGATTTGCCCAAAACTTATCAGAATTTGAGTAGCATACTTGATAAGTGACGACCCAAAGTTCAATTTCCGTTGGCAATTAAATGAGATTGTTTGCAGGCTGTCTAAATTGAGCATGCATTAACTTAGAGGAGTGTATGCTCCACATTTAGTGTTTAGGTTTGACTTAGTAAAGATTGAAATTTGGAGAAATATAGGGAGGGACGCAGTTATAGCGGTTCATGGTTTTTTAACTCTCTGTCCCCCGAGAGAGAGAGAGAGCCTGTGCCAGAGGTTTGATTAGGTTGGCAAGAACTTGGACTACATAACAGCCTCTAAACAACAGAAAGTGCTTTAATCTAAATTCAATTTGTTCTTTATGCAGTCAATGCCAACATAAGATGCTGGGTTTTCTGGCACTGAAGTAGCTCGAGCTTTTAGGATATATAAAAATAAATTTGGTTTCCTTAGGTAAATGAAGTTTTCGCTAGGAGTTTTTTTCTACGCTTTATCTCAGTGAATTAATCTTACCTTTTTTTATTTTTTTTTTCCCAACATGAAGCTGAATGGACGTGATAAACTGAAAATTCAGCTTTATCTCAGGACATATATGCAGAAGAGAGTGAATTTTCTCCTATACCCTCATTTGTAATTCTTTTGCTGTTTACTCTAATCAAATTTATTTTATTTTTATTTTTTGTGGTCGCACGTATGATCCATTTAATTTATCGTAAATAGGATACTCTGTTTTCTTACTAATGGATTTTATGTGGGGCATATTAACACTAATTTCAGGTGTCATGGAAGATGTGCCTCAGACATTATATGACGGGACAACTGAAGTTCAACGTTTGCTTGTAGAACCTGAAGATGAGCATGTTTCAATGGAAAGTGTCTTGTGTTTTAATGAAAAGATTCAAGAGAATGCCATGAAAATGGAAGAAGCTTCCTGCAGTGTTGGTATAGCCTAAAACCTGAAGTATAACTCCTCCCTTCCTCTTCAGCCAAATAAACAAGTGAATCATTTTTCACCTTAATTGGAAATTGGTGGTTGGAGGGATATAAAAATTTATTAATTGGTAATCAAAAAGTATTCTTCATTTAACCCGCCAGTTGTCCTTATCAAGACAGTCTTTCTTTAGTATTTTTTACATTCAACATTCAATTTAGAAGAAAGTAGCATTTATCATCCAAAAAAATGCATTTACTGCTTCCTTCTTTTTTGGTTAAAATATAATTATTGATATTTGTTCCGACTCTATTTTTAATTTTAATCAGTTTTTGGATATCGTGCATTTGCTATGGTCCTTGAATTTCCAAAATGTTTGTATTTGATGGGCTGCCACTTGACACCTCATTGAACTTTATGACTTTATGCAGTTTTACCAAAAAATGGTATTGCTCAGGAAGGGGGAGATGTTCCGAAGCAAGAAGTAGGTCATAATTCTGTTTTTCTTTCCCTACAAGCGGTTGAGTATAGACCCTATGAAATGTGATCATCGAGTTGAATTTTGTGTTATATTATAATTTTATTTTTCTTGTTCTAAGGTTAACAACCATTAACCGATCATTAAATATAACCCTGCAAGTTGTGTTTTTCATTATTGTCTGTCAAGTGTCTTTTGTTTAATACTTGTTGTCAAATCTTGCTGAAATACCTCTCTCTCTCACCCACACACCCACACACACCCCCACACGCGCAAAAAAATAATAATAAAAAAGGAGGAGGAAGAAGAAGAAGTAGAAGCTATGGACAAGTTTTATCTGAATGCTTTATTGAATGTTCATACCCAAACTTAGTGTTGTACTTTCCAATTATTCTTGTCCATTGGAATGCCATATTTGGGACATCAACACCATTATTTTCCTCACATTGCAATGAGGTGCTGTGTTTTCAGAGGACTATTATTGAAGTCTAAAGACCTGTTACTTTCAAGAGATAATAGTTAGAAGACTAAATGATTACTTGACAAGTTTTGTTGAATTTTGTTTGTATTTTGCTAAATGGCATCATCTTCTCAGTTGGATGGTTCACATGTAGGTTCTTGATGTAATGCCAACTGGTGTTGAAGCTGGATATTTTCAATTGCCAAATGATTTCTGTAGCATGGGTGAAGATTACTTTCAAGGTGGACATCCTTTTCCTTGATATTCAACTGTAATTCTCATAAATCAATTTATAGTTATCAAGTGAGGTAACCCACCAAAGATATCTGTTTAATTGGGTACAGGTATTGAATTTGCTAAAAGTATTACCAATTTGGATTATGGTTTGAGTGAAGGCTTGCATATCTCATTGTCCGAAAGTCCAATTCCAGGGTCAAGTTCTGATGCTAACACTCCTTGGAATTCGGATATATTAGCAATAACTGATGTGTCAGACTGTCAAAATGACCAAGTTAACCTGCAAAATTCTGAATTAAGTGACATTTGTATGCGCCAAGAGAGTGAAACATCGGTTGAGAAGAAGCCTTTGAAATTTCCCACGTCTCCTACTACACAAAATATTAGCTGGTCGCAAAATATACCGAGCCAGTCTCCACAAGGTATATCATCTGATGAGGATGGCGGAAGCCTTTGCCCTTCTGATTTTACATCTGGGGAGTTGTTCTGTGGTTCAAAGATTCAGAAAAACAAGGAATTTGGGGTGATGTGTCAAACTGTTGAGAGTAACATCAATGAACTGGATGACTTGGCAAAGATCTCAAACCTGGATGCCCTTACTACGCAAAAGAGATCCCGTAAGCCTACACGGAGATACATTGATGAATTATCAGAGCCTATTTCTAGACATTCTAAGAAAAGACGAGAAGTTTCTACTTCTGTCCCTAGTGCTAAGTCTGCAGTAGTTAAAAATCACAAGAAGTGTCATATTGAATCAAGAACGGGAATTTCCCCTGAGGAGTCTTCTGTCATTGCTATTCAAGTGCCCTTCGGTTCATTAGTGCATAAAGAATGTCAAAATAGTCATTCATCAAATATGGTAAGTTTGAAGCAAAACATGATCACCTCGTTACTTAACATGAATTATTGTTTCTGCAAACTTTAGTCATTCGCTGCTTGCTTCTCTTTTTCAATGTCTGACATGCAGGCTAAGAATACCTCTATCATGTGGAATTTTTGTGTTTCTGAATTCGTTACATGCTTCATTATTTTCAATTATCACTAGATCTATTGAAAGATCTATTCAATCAAACCTTTTGTAGCCACACCAAACCATTTTAATTTTGATCTACCTATCAACTCTTGCGAATAGGAATTTCTTTACGTCAACACAAAACATTGCCCAGCCAACTAAATCATATTTCCTTAATTTATATTCAATCAGGGTCACCTCCATTTGTTGGCTAGATTGCATTCTCATTTATCTTCTCCATTTTAGTATGACCACGTCTAAACATCTCCATTTATATTACATCTATATTATGGACATCCCTTCAATGATAATGCCCAATATCATGAACCTCAGCTTGTCTAATAACCATTTTATAGAATTTATTTTTTAACTTGATAGGTCTTCCTTTTTAGAATTTTATTTTATAGCACTTTTTCCTTTTGTCCGATCCACTCTTATGCTACGAATTACATTCCAAGTCCTCTATTAGTAATTAATTTGAATATCTAAAATATAACTTTGTTGGACACTACTTGACCCTATTATGATTCACTCGAATTGAGTCCCGTTTGGTAGTGATTTTCTAAAATTCATATTTTTCCAAACTTATATTCAATTGCATATTCTTCCAATAAAATAATTTTGCATGTGGATCCATAACTTTTATTTGCTTTTTAACTACACATTCTCCAAAAAAAAGGAAAGGAAAACGAAGTCACTTTTCACAAAATCTATTCTGAAAATATATACGTCGAACAGGATCTTAAGGAACATGAGAACATGAATAAACACAATAAAATTTAAGATGACTTTGTGGTATTGATTACAAAATGTTCACTGGGTAAGAAGTAGAATGGAGTCAATTCGAACTGGTTCTTGAACAGCCACATCTACTTTATCTGGCTATGCTGTCCTATTTCTTTCTGATTTTTTGCCATGAATGAAAGGGAACAATTGCATAACTCGTCCTTTCATTTGCTTCAAATAGAAGAATAGGAAAATGGAACTAAATCACAGCAGGAGGGAAAGAAAATGGGGATTTATATGTTTTCTTTGTTCAAATTTTCTTGAGCCTTAAGCTGTTGTAAAATTCATTTACTCCTAGTTTTCGACCAAATTCCTGTATTTGTGATACTCAATATAATGAAGCATCAATATGTGAACAGGTACTTAGTTCTGATAATGAGAATTCAGTGTACGAGTCAGAAGATATCTGGGTAGCTTCGGTATGTCAAAAGAAAAGGTGTGGCTATGTCTTTGCAGCTTGTGAAAAGAAATATGATGACTCAGTCACAGCAGTGAATCAAAAGAAAGGAGATGACTGTGTCAAGGCAATGAGTCAGAAGAAAAGGGACGATTGTGTCACAGCAGTTAGTCAAAAGAAACGGGATGACAGTGTCACAGCAGCGAACCTAAGGAAAAGGGAAGATCATATTACATCAATGAGTCTAAAGAAATGGGATGACTGTGACACAGCAGTGAGTCATAAGAAAAGGGACAATCATGTTTCAGCAATGAGT